AAACTTCTGTTTTCATTGTTTTTCGAAAATATCAGGATCAAACCCATCAGGCGCGTCCGTGCCGGCAGTGTTGTTGCGAGCTTTGATGATTTCGACCATCATTTTGTGCATCTTCGGCACATAAGCATACGTATGTTGTGGCCAACATCCAAATAAGGTCGGGTCTTCGTGTTGTCGAACGATATGCTGTGATTGTTGTTCTGTAAGAAGGAATAAGCCTGTGCGCAAAGTGCAGCTTGGAAGTTGCAGCGTAGTCTGAAGAAGATGTCCAGGAAGGTATTCATCGCGGAGGTGCTGCCATCGAGGGCACTGCCAAAATACATGATGCATCGTCTCATTGTCGCCCCAACAGAAATTGCATATTGGATGATTGGCTTGGTTGGATTTGTACAGTGAGTGTTGGGCGGAGACAGCGCCAGCAAAGATAGATCGTAAACTGCCTTTGTCGTACTCATCGTACGTCTTCTGTCTGTAAAGTTGAAGCGTGGCTTGCTTGTCAATACCAATCTGGATGCCCTTCATATCTTTCCTGGTGGTGGCGGCTCGTATCCAGAGAGCCCGAGAGGCACCAAGTCGTAAAATGTGAAGAAAATAATCGTCGGAGTGATTCAGGATGTTGAAAGTGATGGTTTTGTTGTGGCCAACAGGAACTTCGAAGCAGTACGGTGAGGTCCAGGTCCACTGCATGCTGTTGGCTGCCTGTTGGATGATGGCAAGAGGTCCAACAGCATTGGATCGTCCATCTCGAAGGCTTGCTCGTTTCTGATTTGTCATGGCAAAGATGTCTTGCCAAAGTTGACGAAGATCCTGATGCTTAAGAAGTTGGTGTCGAGCAATTTGAAAAGGTTTGGTCATTCTAAGTTGAGCGGGATCAAACTTGTGACCTTTGTAACATATGCTGAGCACAACGTCGACGCATCTGGAGCATCTCTTGCACCAAAGTGCATTCACGATGGTGGTTCTTAAAGTTCTCTCAAGAGAGACTGAGCAGGGGCCGAGCTCCAGTCCATAATGATACTTTGGCGCTCCCGCTGTAGAGAGCAAAATTTCACGAGCTCGAATGTTTAGTGGGCACATAGATGCGCGCTTCGCCACTTGCAAATACATATTGGCTCGACTGTCAGCGAGCTTTCTAGCTCGTCGCTTGGTGAAGGACAAATGTCCTCCAAGTAGTCGTTCATCAGGCGCTGTTTTCAAAGTCTTTTGTTGATAAGTGATGTGTTCAACTTGTTTTCGTCCGGAGGTACTTGTAGCGAAGACGACCGTTTTGCTGTGTTCAATGATTGCATCCGTTGCAGTGTCAAACTGCTCAGTGGCGCTGACGGCTTCCTGGAGTTCGCGAATGGAGGTGGATCTGAGGCTCCTGTCATCAATGAAGGCACCAAGTTTGCGGTGTAGGTGTAGTCTTTGTCGAAGTGCAGCAACCTAACTCGGGTTATCCGCACCGTAACGCCCAAAAGGGAGGAGAAGAGCGCACGCAAACAAAAGGTAGGCAGGCCCAGGGCATGGCCTCTGCATCCATGTACGCGCGTAAGCACGCGAGACAGACCTGTTGCACACCGTACACGTAGGCCGAGAAAAAGATGCGGGATCAGTATCAAGGACATGCAGATTCAGGCGACGGGCCCGCGCATTGTGAGCACGCACATGCTCAGCAAAAGCGTTCTGCCTGGTGGCAGACAAGGTAGAGGCTCGGGAACTAGAACCCTGCTTATCAACCTTAAGACCAACAAGGGGACCTAACTTAGGGCAAGTCAAAGAGCATGCGCACGCAAAATCATGGCTAGAAAATTCGGCAGCGCATTCGGTGCAAGTAAGGAGACGAGCACAGATCGAAAAGCGGTGCTTGCCACAGTCAGCAGCAGAAGTGTTGTGAACATCCACCCTATGCTGGAGAACCCTAACGGCGGCAACAGCTGCTGCAGCACTTTTAGAAAGGCGCTCAACCTTGCCAGTGCGCTTGAAGACTTGCACAGCTTCAGCAGCAGAGCGAGCGTCAGGATACACTCCCAAGTTAGTAGTTTTGCCCCGCACCGTGACACGGGCGCCGAAAGTGCCAGACTTATGAGAGATAACATGAAGGTATTTTCCAGCTGCGTTGAGAGGCAGCCCGTTCGGATCCACATCAGGACGATCAAGGCCAGCAAAGGCTTTTTGACCGGCGCGACGACGAAGTTTGCTCTCACGAGCGGACGATTTAGCGGTTTTCGCGCAGGAATGCTTGGCGTGTCACTTGGAGGAGGGTCCTCGCCATCACCACTATTATCTTCAACGCCTCGGGTGTCATGACGGCGGCGATAAACGTAAAGGCCATAGTCTTTCAGACTCCCTGTTGCGCGCCATGACGACAGCCACCAAACACTTGTGCACGGATAGCACAGTTGCGTCATGCGCTTAAAGACATAAACGGGCATCGGGTGGCAGACGACGCAGCCGTGCAGCATCCAATGCCAGCGCATGGGCACCGTCATTACCTATCTTGTCGGAAGACAAGACCAAACCTTTAGCGACGTCAGAGTCGGATGCATGGCCCTTAACTTTAACAACCTGAAAGAAACCAGGTGGCCGGGCGCGCAAAAGAGGGAAAAGGAGAAGCCAAATGTCAGTGCCAGCACAGTCAAGGAAGCCATCGCGCACAAAGTGGTTGAAATGATCAACCACGTCTTGGCAGTCAGTATGCACGCGCACGGGCCGGACCGCAGACACCAGCACAGCAGCGAGTGCTGCAAGCTGAGCACGATAAGCAGTTTGCACGGGGCCAAGCACTGGAAAGGACAGATTGTAAGGGCTGTCACACGCAAAGTAAATGCCCGCCCCTGTGCGCGTGACGCGGGGGTCATGACAGTCAACAGCCGACCCATCGACCCAGACATTGAGTATTGCGCGGCACGTCTTCGGGAAGGACACTTCAGGCAAAGAGAAAAGCTCAGCACGTAACTCAGCCGCAAAAGCCTTGACTGTGGGAGGCAGCAAGAAAATGCCACACTGCTGCGTGCACGGTTCCCAAGCACGGACAGTCTCAACCTCAGGCACCTCGAAAGCGGAGCGAGTGCTGTTCCATGCAGCGCATTCCCAATAAAGGTGAAAAAGTGTCTCAGGCGCACGTCCGCAAAAGGGGCACGTGCCATCAGCCACTTGCTGACGAGCACACAGGGCGTGTTGGGTTAGTACCCCTTGACAGAGAATGGACCGAAGAACCCCCTTATTGTACTGGGAAGAGGAGCCAGCAGAAAGGCACTGACCACATGCGTGAAAGTCAACGTCCCAGGACAGACCTTGGTAGCCAGGACGGCGCAAAGCACGTAAAAGTACACTCATCTGAGCGTGAGCGCAGACACGTTCACGAAAAAACTGCTTGCAACAAGTCAGCAGAGGCAAGACTTCGGAATCGGACTGTATCTTAAAAGCATGCGACCACTGAAGGTCAAGCATGGCACAGGCATGCTGCAACTGTGCGGCAAGGCCGAAACGCCCACGAAAAGATTCGGCTGCTCGAGCAGACCACAAACCACGCCATAACTCATGAGCGCTGGGACAACGCAGCAGGAAAGACCGCACCGCACACAACGTGTGGACAGCCCGGATCTGACGAGGGGTCAAGAGACCCGTTACAGCAAATTGCAAAAAAAACGTCTCGACACGCGTGCGAGCGACGCGCCCCCATGCAATGCCTCAGCCACGGAGTGCCGCAGTTGACTCTCGGCATCGATAGGATGACCTCCTACTTCGAGACCGTGACGCCATTTTGAAAGTGCAGCCGAACTTAAACACACCTCACGTGCCTCAAAATGCAAGGGGGCATACTGGACCCGGTTAGCAACCGCAATTGCAGCCTCAGTGCGCACACGGCCAGGATGGCAAACAGCAACAGCGCGGGCGGGCAGGTTCACACCTAGAAGAGGGGCATCAGACACAGGATAAACAGGCAGTTCACCGTGCATAAAACCTTGAAACTCCTGCTCGAGCGGAAGATCAATGCACAGCAACTTGGTTTTGTCCTGGTTGGACACCGACCCGCTGAGGGAGTCGAACTCGTCGGTGAGGTGAACAGCAGTCTTAAGGGCCGCAAGCGCAAAGATCTGTCGTCGATGAAGCAACCGGCACGGACCTGCGGGGCTTCGGCCCGCAACACCTTGCACCAAATACTCATGAGGGCATTCACCGAAAGGATAGAGAGCGGACAACCTCAGGGTGTACCATTAAAAGCATTAAGAGGGGCACTAATGGATGAGCCAAGCTTAAACCACCTAGCGGCACTGCATGCCAGATGACGTTTGGGGCCAAGGACACGGCCCGGGCATCCAAAGGAAGACAAGATCCCATACTCAATATCCCACGGCAGGTGATCAAAGAATTTACTCAAATCCAAAAGAATGCCAGCTACTGGTGAACCCCAGGAGAAGGCGGACTCCAGCTCCACAGCAACTTGAAGGTACAGATCAGCAGCGGTGTGGCCGCGCACGCCACCATGCAACTCCTGGGGGCACCAGGCGGTTTGCCACGTCATCAAATCACGCGCCCGAGCGGAAGCCCAAGCACGGTAAATGATGGAGGCAATCGTGATGGGTCTTAAGTCATCAGGAGACTTACCAAGTGGTTTAGGTATTAAGGCAACTATAGCACATGCAAGAGGCGCTGGGGCCAACGGCCAGTACGCTCAACAACCTCAAGCAACTGGCACAGGGAAGTCCATGCCTGTTGAGGCCAACCTTTTTAAGGGCCTCCTTAGTCCAGGCGTCAAGGCCAGACGCGGCGGCCCGTCCACCACACGCAAGTCGTTGGAGGCGCCGAGGATCAAGCGGTGGAAGCTGGACGGCATGACACGAAAAATAGGCGGAATAACGCTCCGCAAAAGCCGCCCAAGAGGGAGAGGTCCCATCAGAATCAGAGTACTTACAAAAGATCTTAGTCCACTTAGCGATGACAGGCTTCAAAAGTGCCGCGGGCGCGGCACACAGCCCATGGGGGGAAGACACAAAATCGGGTACCGCTTGCAAGGCTTTGTGGGCGCGAATCCACTTGAAAACGTCACGCTTTTGACCAGCCCAGCTTTGCTGCATACGAAGCTTCCAGGCAGCTAAGCGTTGCCTCTCAAGTAACTGCATCTCACAATGAATCTCGTTTCGGACCTGAGCAGCCGCATGGGCCATGCTACTGAAGGTGAGACCAACGCACAGTTGCGAGAAAGACCGCCGTATAGCAGCAAGAAGGGTAGCTGCCGCAAAGCCACGCTTGGCACGAGCCAAAGAGGCCTCTTGGATCCGGCGCTGCAAGCGGAACAACCGGGACAGCCTGACAGAGAAGCCTGCATTAGCAAATCTTGGAGGGAAAAGAAGGCGTTGACGCACCACAGGGGCAAGGCCTCGGTCGCAGGAGTTCGGGGGTGTATCGGTTCCACGAGCATGTACAAAACGATGGCAAGTGCGGCACAACAGGTCCCAAGCGGAATCAACGTCTTGACACTCAAGAAGTGCGTTCCAGTGCTCCTGGATGGGACAGAAACAAGACTCAGCAAGAGCCGCAAGCGCAGAGGCATCAAGCGTAGAAGTGGGCAAGGGCCTAGAACCTTTAAGCACCCGAACCGTGGCATTAAAGGGAGGGAGCCTAAACCGAACGACAAGGGCCTTATGATTAGGGATGTCAAAGTGACCAAAGTGGAAATCAGACACAAGGGGCCTGGCATGCTGATTGCAGAAAATGGCATCAATGCGGCTGGCAGTGGCACGCTTATGACGAACTGCATGAAAGGTGGGCTTGGCGCCAGCTTCAGCCCCGAGATCGTGCCACCCGCCTGCAGCACAGGCGGCAAGGCAGGCCGGACTGTGACTAGGATCAATGTTAAAATCACCGCACACCACGCAAGGCCCAGGGCCATAGAGTGCAGCCCACGCAAACACGGAAGCAAGAAGAGTTTCATTGCGGGCGAACTTGGCGGGATCCTTGGCAGCGCCAGAAATGCCGTACACAGTGAAAACATGCAGAAGCCGCCGACCATCTGCAATGGCAACGGCAACGCCGAGTGCGCGACCGGCGTCATACCAAGCAGCCACATCAGAAGGGCAAGGAAGAGCGGTGGCAGGAGAACACGCTTGAACCGCGACACCACCCTGGGCACGGACAGGCCCGCCACACACAAGCCGATCACCAGCAGCACGAACCTTGCGAACGGCATCAGCCGCGCGCTTAGAGTCCAACCGGACCTCCTGAAAGCACTTGATGGCGGCGGAAAAATATTCGAACAACATATGCCGGGATTTCCAAGCAGTGATGTTGGCAGACAAAAGGACCAACTCACGCCCCGGCTTGCGCGCGGGGCCACTAGTAGGCGAAGCAGGCGGGTCACCCTGGCGAGAGGCATCCTGTTTCAGCTCAGAGGCAACCGAAGGCACAGAAGGGCTGGTGGGCAGCATAACGTCGTAGTGATTGAAACCATTATAATATAAGCAAGGGTGATCAGATCATCACCACTGCCAAAGATGACAGGGGGGTTGGCGGGCATAGCTACCTGAATCCGAACCTCAAAATGGGCGACCAATCCCTGCAAACAAAGCTCATCGCCATACTCACCGTCCTCGGCCACGCGTGTACAAAACGCATTGCATTCTGCGGCATCGAAAAACCTTGCAGATAGACATGGGCCACCTCGAATGGCCTCAACGCAAGCAGATCGTACGCGAGAAGGTGAGACGCACTCACCACGCAATGCTTGTAAAGCCTGCGAGACAGCAGCGAACATGCAATTGCCATTGCCTGGGATGACAGCGTAAGAATGACCGTCAGGGACGCGGTCACGCAACAAACGGTGAGCCTCATTGAAGCGGTGAGCCTCGGCAGAGTGAGCACACAGTGAACGGCGAATAGCTTCAGACAACTCTTCTTGAAAACCCCCACCACGCAAGCAAGGAGGACTCGGAGAAGGCTTTCACGGCCCAGGCAAAGCGGCAGGAGCTCGCAGAGTGGCAAGCTGACTAAGCACTTTGTCAAAGCCGGCGTCAAGTTTAGTTTCAAGAGAGCGGGTGCGCACCTCCTGTATAAGACGTTGCTCGAGGTTAGACACACGAGCGGCAAGCTCACTTTGGGACGAAACCGAAGGGTTAGCAGAGCGAGGAGCAACAGCAGGCGACTCGCGTTTACGGCGGGACTGTCGGGACACAGGCCGACTCACAACAGGAGGGGCCTCACGAAGCAGGATGGGCCCGGTTTTGAGATCAAAAGTGTCTGCCGAAGGCGCGACATTAGCGCTCAACGGAAAGACCAAGTTGGCACCGCGACGCACGGGCTGACCAACTATCACGTTCCACTTGAGGCGTTTCCGGAGCTCGCTGGAGACTTCAGCCGAGCCGGTACCGTCAGGGAAACCTAAGGCTGTCCAGTCCACCGAAGGCGCCCAGCAACGCTGCGATTGTGATCATTGTACTTGGCATCTGTGGGCTTGGCAAGACTGCGCACCGAACTAACCATATCTAAAGCAACGCGAATGCCGAACCCAGACTTATTTTGCTGCAAACCGAAGTGGCTTGGTAGCTTGCGGAGAACAACACGCGACTCAGCAAGCGACATCTTGCCTAGCCACTCAACTGTAAACAACTTGTCAAGCTCTGCCTTGCGGTCGGAGGTCCGCCAAACGGGTTGCACAGTAAAGGACACTGACGCACCAGACGCAGCAAGCAGCGGAGCGAAAGCGGGATCGAGAGGGCACTCGAACGATGACGCGGCGCGGCGCACATCGTCTGAGACTTTGCGCCAAGCATAAAACTCAACTCTGGCGTGGTGCTCATGAGCAATCTGCTGGAGGACAGCATCGCGCAGCTTAATGCGCACCTGAGAAACAATGCTAGACCAATCATCGCCATTAGCCTCGTAGTTGGAGCGACAGGCTAGCACAGCGACCTCCGCAGTGGGAACAGGAGTGAAATCATCCTGAGTGTGTGCTTTGAGCCGAATGGGTTCAGAGCATAGCGGGATAAGCATAACGTTTTTGAGTTCCTTGCGCTGCAAAGCGGGATCCAAAACAACAAGAGTGCACGTGATCCTGTCGGTCATCTTGATAATGGCTTCCGGGAGGTCTTTCAAGGAATGCCCGGGAACAGCGAGGGCAAGCAAAGACTTACTAGTGATGCCCTCAACTTCTGTCAACTGGTCACGGCGCGCAAAAACGAGACCAGATGCATCAACCCTGAGATCCTTGTAAGAAAGTTTGGCAAGGGCCGTCTCAAACTGACCATCGACGGCTTGCAATTCGTGCCATGCAGCTCGACGGGGGCCAGCAGGGCGCGAAGGCACAGAAGCAGGCTCAGAAAGCTCCGGCATCGCAACATCATCATCGGCATCAAGCCGATCAGGCACGTAACTGGCCCAAGGGTCAAAGGAGGAACCACGTTCACGAGCAGCAGCACGGGCGCCTGGAGGGCGAGTGAGTGGGCCTCCACGCTTGGTCCCAGAAGCGCTACGGGGCCGGGTAGGTTTGGCAGCACGCACAACTTTGTCCTTGACGCCACCAAGCAGGCGGGCACACATGTTGAGATGGCATTCTCGAGTGAAGTCGGCCTCAGAACAAAATTGATGAAGCCGCACAGCTCGTCCCTGCTGGGTCAGGTAAAACTTGCCCAATGGAATGCCGGTTCTCAAGCTGACAAAGCATGCCATGTCCCGAAAGCGTGTGGAGGCACCGAGCGGCACGCTGAGGCTGGTCCCGCTTAAGAGTCGAACGAAACACGCACCAGTCCGTGATGCTTGTGGTTTCGCCACGCGGTGGCAGCGCACGGATTTGGGCCGGCAGTGCCGGATTGCACTTGCAAGATCAGCAAGGGTTTCGGTGGGAACCCATAAGCACTGTCGGTAGGAATGCCGGCGGTGACGGTGGCGACGTTTGCCAATGATGCGAGCACGGCACACACAATGCCGACGATGCGGGAACATCCAATGCTGGACAGCTCCGGTCAGGCACACAGCACTGCAGGAGGCCAGAGGCAGGCCTAACAGCCAAAACCCGAAGCAGATGCAGGCACAACGTACAAAGCCCAATCTGAAGAACCATCGAAGCGACAAAACCGAATCAAAAATCCCTTGCAAGTGGCTAATGACACTGCTGATGTCCACATAGCATTGGCACCACGAATGCATGATAGAACGCATGTGCACAAACAGCATACAGATGGTCCAAAGTGCTAGCCAAGCCCCTTGGTCTATAGACGCCAAGTGAAGAGTGACACAACTCTCCCACTTGGCCGCGGGCTCCATCGCACCGTAGGCAGGTGAGGCCAGCACGTGGCCCGCCCACCCCAAGTTTGCGGTGTAGTAGGACCTTACGAAGCTGTTGTAACCGAACTAAGGGTTGCCACCAGCGCAAAAGAAACATCATGCCACATGTTTCGGTCGACCCTTTCGGGATGGGATACCAGGTGCAGATTTGCAATCTCTCTTCATCCACGTTCTAAGATAGTTCTTCGCACCAGATTGCTTACAAAAGGAGCATGACGGGTTGTAGATGTCAGTAATAAAATGTCTGCCTCGCACAGCCGCATGCTTGTTGTGCTCATCAACATCCTCTTGAAGTTTTGCATTCCTGGTTTCTGACAGTTTGGCAGCCCGAGTGCTAGAGCCACTCTTGTCAACAGCAGAGGATAGTTTGTGACACTGCTGTTTGCAAAATTTGAGGACGTAGTACTCATTGACGATCTTGTGACACCATTCACATTGAGGAAAAGAAATATCACGGATACAATGTCGCCCTTGCGCTTTCGCATTAGCGTTGAGCACAGCGAGCTCTTCATTAACTGTGTGGTGATACATGGCTGTACGTTTTTCACCACGCGTAAGAGGCGCATTGCCAGTTTCAAGTTCTTGAAAGAATTGTCGAATGCGTTGAGCAGCTTGTACTTCAGTCTGAAAAGGATCAAAAGACTGACGCGAAGCCTTGTGGGTGATAACAGCTCTGAAAAGTCCGGTCGCCTTGACCTTCTGTACGTATTGATACTTGGATCCACCGGGCCTCTTAGAGGTAGACAGAAGGAGCCCAAGTTCATCATGAGATGGAACGCTTGCAGCTGGATTCGCATCAAGCTGTGAAGAAGGACGGGACTCCTTTTGAGAAGCAGTTTGCTTCCGACGGTCCGGTCTTGAGAATCTGGAAGGATCAAAGTCATCAGGTGGGAAAGTTGTCTCAGCTTGTTTGCGAGCCTTGACGATCTCCACCATCATTTCTTGAAGAATTGCAGGGAAAGAGCAAGTGTGCAAAGGAATCGAAATGCCATCAGGAACATCAGCACTGTGTTTGGCAACAATAGCTGCAGACTGCTGTGGAGTGATGATAAAAATCCCTGTGCGTAAGGTGCAGCTTGGAAGCAAAAGAGCGTCACGAAGCTGCGTTGGATTAAGGAAGCGTTGCCTGATGTGCTGCCAAGAGGAGCAATGCCAAAACAAATGCTCAAGGTTCTCTTCCTGTTGCCAACAGTATGGGCAGATAGGATGATCCGCTTGTCTGGTTCGATAAAGAGTTTGCTGCGTATAGATAGCGCAGGCCAGTATGGAGCGCAAAATACCACGATCATATTCTTGAAGGCGAGATGACGAAAGAAGCTTCAAAGTTGCCACCTTGTCAACTCCTGGGTGTAAACCACGTAGTTCTTTGCGATTGGCCGCAGCTCGAGTCCAAAGCATGCGCGAGGCACCAAGACGAACCATATGGTTGAAATAGCCATCAGTGTGCTGGTAAAGGTTCAAGGTTACAGTGTGTCCATGACCAACAGGAGCTTGAAACTCAAAAGGTGAGATCCAAGACCACTGTAAGTGATTGCATGCAACTTGTAAGTTGTCCAATAATCCAACAGAGTTTGAACGACCATCTTTAAATCTGGAGCGAGCATCGACTGTGTCATGCCATATGTGCAGCCAAAGCTGCCGAAGGTGTGGATTTTTCCGTAGCTGGCGGCGGGCAATGATAAACGGCTGGATAAGGCGAAGTTGAAGTGGATCGAAGAGATGTCCCTTGTGACAGAGCGTGAGAGCAATGTCAACTGATTTCGCGGAACG